AAGTATTTATAAAAAAGAGAAGCTACGCTATGAGCCGAGATGCCAAGTCAGGACCAATAACATTGCAGATTCTTTTTATATTTCATCAAGTATCTATAAATATATAACTTGCTTTCGTATATAATTTGTCTAATCGGTCTCTCCTTACATTCTCAGTCTCTTTGTATTTTCCTTACTTAGGATTGTACGGTTGGCTGTATTTTCTCCGATCAAACTAAAGGCACTTGCAGACCATCTACGTCATATTAGCAAAATATTGGCAACTCTCAAAGGAACGTTGCATCAAGTTTGATATGCTCCATATTAACAAATATTGATTCGAGTTTTTGACTCATCAAAATTTGTCAACCATTCCGTGGTTTTTTCGCTCTGTTAGAGACTGACCAATTCCAATATTAACTGAGACATTGACTGCTTCAAAAACTTCATGTAAATACGCACAAGGCTTTGGCAAAACTTTATTTATAAATAAACTTCTGTTTTTTTGGTTTTTTTTCCTTAAGTTGAGACGTGGAAATGCTCCTTGTTAATCATTCTGACAGATCATGGAAATTCAAAAAGACTGCCAAAAAACAAATTAATACAAGACATTTTCTCTTTCTTCATATATATATATATATATATATATATATATATATATATATATATATATATATATATATATAGTTAGTTTAGGAAAAACTAGGTAATCCGTATGGGTAAAACCTAAGGAGGATATAATCCAGAAAGCTCAATTGTGTAAATTTTCTTTTCATTTTTTGTTTGGAAGTAAAGTCTGATGATCCGCAGTCCTTTTAAAAGGGCTGTGGTGAAATAATTTATTACATGGAACCTTAAAGTGGTCTGTTTTTATTTAAATTATATATATATATATATATATATATATATATAAGTGAACATTGAAGTCAACAGTTAGTTTCATGCTAAACGCAATCGTCAGGCCTGACGATCTAGCATGAAACAGACTGTCGCCTCTAAGTGTTGACTTCAATGTTCACTTTTATATTTAGGCACGTTCTATCTCTGATATTGAGCACTTTATCCCATAAATATAAAACACCTTAAGAGTATATTTTTATATATATATATATATATATATATATATATATATATATATATATATATACTATTTACATTATTCGGACTATTGTCCTCATCTTTGTTGCCATATTTATTACAACGTTTCGGCCGTTGTGAAACGCAGGGTCACAATCTCATATCCATACAACTGAATATGTTAGCTCTATCACTGTTATTGAGCGCTTTCCACTAAGTACTGCGTATATATATATATATATATATATATATATATATATATATATATATATTTGACGATCTCAGTTCCTAGGAACCGGCAGCCAGACAACCTGCACATATGATTTGATTATAGTGGTGATGGTTTTGTGCAAAACCAACCACACTTTTTGAAGGGTCGAATACAGGGACCGGGTGCACCCAAAACCATACACAGATTTTGAATTAAGAGCTGTCTAAGCCTATAGAACCCGGTTTCTCCTGCTATTTACCCATAACTGGGGGGGGGCGGAGAAGAATAGGATTCATACCTTTCCCAAGGGTATTAGCACTTAAATGAATGTAATGGATTCGACTGGAATTCGATCTCGGCTTTCCGATTCCTCATTCCGAACCGCTATCCATCACGGCACTATATATATATATATATATATAGAGAGAGAGAGAGAGAGAGAGATAGTAATCTGTTGGTACAATCCAGGCGAGTCCTATTAACACAACAGAGAATTTGAAATATCACAAAAGATCGCTCAATGTTTATTTTCATTAAACAGAGCAAATTTTATTTACAATTGGAATTAAAGATACATTTAGTTAATGACCATTTTCACCTAAGAATTTTAATTTTAAAATTCGCAGGATTTTTCAAACTGTTTATCGTATCAGTGTGTAGAGGGATCCCACTACAAACTGATACAATAAACAGTTTGAAAAATCCTGTGAAAACGGTCATTAACTAAAGATATCTTAATTCCAATTGTAAAGTGTATATATATATATATATATATATATGATGTCATACATTAAGAATTGGACAAAGTCCGACAAATTATTAAAGACATTTTTATGTTTAACATTCTTTTTATAGATATAAGTATTAAGTAAATATGTTTTATGTTTAATACTGTTTATTATAAACAGAGCATTTACTTAAATATTTGTGTCTATAAAAAGAATGTTAAACATAAAAATGTCTTTTATATATATATATATATATATATATATATATATATATAAATCCTTGCGTATTCACCTTGTTTGGAGTGAAATGATTTAAAAGAATATTAAAGAATGCCAAAATTATTAAAAAATAAATAAGTTTGTGGATATACGTCAACTATATTCTTCGAAATACAAACACAATCTGTTTCACTCAATGTAAACGTTGTCCAAATGTTTGCAAACATTTCAAACAACGTTTATTGCTGTAATTGTTAATAAACCCCGAATGTTGTTTCTTTTCATCACCTGACCGCTTCACCTTCATCTGCGGCCTTTTTCTCTACATCCTGAAAATATCTACAAATATTTATTCAGAAAGTGCCGGAAATTGACAGCTGAAACCGCTTCCAGATGCACTTTCTTTGGCCTCCTCTAGCTAAGGAAACAAGATGGAAATTAAAAAGACTGTCTATATGACTGGTTGTTAAAGGACAGGTGTCTGCTTGGAGATATTATCCGTGTGGTCAGCCTCTTACTTTTTTTTTTTTTTAAAGTGCCACTGAGAAGTGTAAAGTGTCCATGCAGCTATCTTGAGAATGAATAGCAAAAAAGAAACGGGTGTGTATCTGATGGAAGTTACTGTCTTCCCGTTTTTTCTATGATTTTTTATTTTTGACAAACATTAAACCAATGATATTTCTGCTTTCAGTAATTTTTTTATATATATATATATATATATATATATATATATATATATATATAGCATGTATATTCTTGCAAGGAAATTGAAAGCCAATGTCATTTATATAATTAAACATACGTTTTTTTTTATCTGAATTTCTAGCGTTCTGGATATAACGATAAACTACATCCGGCAGCAAGGCCTCTGATCAGGAGGTTTTGAGGAGAGTTGAACCACCTTTTAATTTCCGTTGTTCCCAGGTCCACCCTAACCCGGGGTGGTAGCACCTGTTAGGATCCCAGCTATGGGCAAATAGTTACTCATCAAACTGGGGTCAAAACACTATGACATTGTAAAAATAGGTTTTAATAAGAGCAATATATTTTTGGAAAAAAATTACCAGCAATAAAAATCTTGTCAGCATGAAATAACCCATTGATGTTGATTTGTTGTAAACAATCCAAACCAAACCTGAATTTATGAGATAAGAAGTTATCATTTTTACACGATTTATATTCTTGTCCTCATCTTTGTTGTTATCATAACATTTTGGCCGTTGTGCTCTCTGACCTTCCTCAAGTGTACATAGATCTACAGGGAATTCTGAACTGAACACCTTTATTCAATCTATGGAGATAGACTATTCTTGATTTTAGGACATCTCATCTTGTTCTTATTTTCAGTACTGCTCAGATATTGCTCATCCTGTAGGTTACATGGATCGATGTATTCTTGGAATTCAGAACTGAACACTTTATTTAATCTGGGTGTGTTTGTTGGGTAGACTTTTTTCATTCCACTGCTCATGTCTAGGGATATCTTGTATAGTTTTATTATATTTTTATTTAATTCTGTTCAGTCATTGCCCGCCCATTTCAACTGAGTGCAAATACCCACTGCCCAACTGAGATTGAACTCACAACAACTATGTAACCAAATTCACAAACCAATGTTTTTACCTACTAGGTCATGTAGTAAACTTGGAGCCTTAAAATTAATCTAGCTGCTGATTAGGTTGCAACTGTTGCTGCTGACCATCAGGTTTTGACTACTGCTGCTGCAGTTGAAGACTTGCTGTCATTTATCTCTCTTTATTAGCAGCTCCAATATTACATTTAATTTTATGCTAGGCCTACTAAGGAGATCCTCATAGCCTAGCATATGTGCTGATTCTTTCAGATTTCTAACTCTCTAGTGTTCTTCCTTGTCCAGTTCATTCCACAAGTGCTGATGACTACCCTTTAAAAATGTCTCTTTATCTTTTAAACCATTTTTCGTTCTTATTTTTACTCTTTGAGCTATGCAGATTCTAAGTCATGTATTAGCAAACTACAACCCACCAGCTAAACTGGCTTACCATGATATTTCAGCCAACTTGCAAAAAACATGCCATATATTATTCAGAAATAATGTTTTTATATTGTCTTCCTATAATATTATTATTTTTTCAACACTTGCAACACTAAACCTAAAACTAAATTTTTATATATATATATATATATATATATATATATGAAGAAATATAGTCTTAAGGTGTGCTATATTTATGGATAAAGTGCTCGATATCAGAGATAGAGTTGTGATAGTGAACATAGAAGTCAACACTTAGAGGCAACAGTCTGTTTCATGTTACATGTAATCGTGCCACGATTGCATGTGGCCTGACGATTGCATATAGCATGAAACAGACTGTCGCCTCTAATGTTGACTTATGTTCACTTTTATATTTATATATATATATATATATATATATATATATATATATATATATATAGTCTTCAATGGTCTAGATTGCTTTCATTAGTTTTTTAATATGGTAATAGCAGCAGCAGCTGTTGCATATATAAATCAGTGTTATTTGTTACCTCCCTTTGATATTTTTTTTACTACATCATAAAGTCAGTTTATGAACCAGTAACAAACATTTACCAAAACATTTTTGTATGCATTTGACTATTTACTATCTGGGCGGGTATTGAAAAATTTTTCCATGTAAAAGTGGGTGATGACACAAAAACTGCTGGGAATGCCTAGTCTAAAAAAATTGCCTCATGAACTTTAAAAGGATTTATGTTTTGAAAACATTTAACAAGTTTCTTACTTTTTCTCTTTTTTCTTTCAGTTTTTTTATGAACCAGACATTCCGTACAGAAATGTTCCTTTTGAAATTACATGGGGTCCACAGAGCCGACCCTTGGATAATCCAAATAGTATACAGGGTAAGTGTGGACATAGTTTCTGTTAATTTAGAATTCTTTAAATGGTTAATCCTTGTAGCCTAATTTGGAAGTCAGCTGACCTAGAAGGGTAGCTTCCCAAGGTTACGGTTAATTATTTACTTATTAAACATCCTGATCTCTGAGAAGGAAACTAATGCAAAATTAATAATAATGACAATGCTTCCTCTAAGAAATTTGGACAACTTAAGACCATTACGTCCATTTACAATGCATTTCTATTTCTACGGCCATTAAATAAGCAGCATGGATCGGAAATAAAAAGGCATGAAAGCAACAAAAATAAGATGTAAGATAAACCAGTAGAATATTAATAATAATGACAATGCTTCCTCTAAGAAATTCGGACAACTTAAGACCATTACGTCCATTTACAATGCATTTCTATTTCTACGGCCAATAAATAAGCAGCATGGATCGGAAAAAAAGGCATAAAAAGCAAAAAAAATAAGATGTAAGATAAACCAGTAGAATATTCATAATAATGACAATGCTTCCTCTAAGAAATTCGGACAACTTAAGACCATTACGTCCGTTTACAATGCATTTATATTTCTACGGCCATTAAATAAGCAGCATGGATCGGAAATAAAAAGGCATAAAAGCAACAAAAATAAGATGTAAGATAAACCAGTAGAATATTAATAATAATGACAATGCTTCCTCTAAGAAATTCGGACAACTTAAGACCATTACGTCCATTTACAATGCATTTCTATTTCTACGGCCATTAAATAAGCAGCATGGATTGGAAATAAAAAGGCATAAAAGCAACAAAAATAAGATGTAAGATAAACCTGTAGAATATTCATAATAATGACAATGCTTCCTCTAAGAAATTCGGACAACTTAAGACCATTACGTCCGTTTACAATGCATTTCTATTTCTACGGCCATTAAATAAGCAGCATGGATCGGAAATAAAAAGGCATAAAAGCAACAAAAATAAGATGTAAGATAAACCAGTAGAATATTAATAATAATGACAATGCTTCCTCTAAGAAATTCAAACAACTTAAGACCATTACGTCCATTTACAATGCATTTCTATTTCTACGGCCATTAAATAAGCAGCATGGATCGGAAATAAAAAGGCATAAAAGCAACAAAAATAAGATGTAAGATAAACCAGTAGAATATTAATAATAATGACAATGCTTCCTCTAAGAAATTCGGACAACTTAAGACCATTACGTCCATTTACAATGCATTTCTATTTCTACGCCATTAAATACGAAAGCATGGATGGGGAAATAAAAAGGCATAAAAGCAACAAAAATAAGATGTAAGATAAACCAGTAGAATATTAATAATAATGACAATGCTTCCTCTAAGAAATTCGGACAACTTAAGACCATTACGTCCATTTACAATGCATTTCTATTTCTACGGCCATTAAATAAGCAGCATGGATCGGAAATAAAAAGGCATGAAAGCAACAAAAATAAGATGTAAGATAAACCAGTAGAATATTAATAATAATGACAATGCTTCCTCTAAGAAATGAAAGGACAACTTAAGACCATTACGTCCGTTTACAATGCATTTCTATTTCTACGGCCATTAAATAAGCAGCATGGATCAGAAATAAAAAGGCATAAAAGCAACAAAAATAAGATGTAAGATAAACCAGTAGAATATTAATAATAATGACATGGCTTCCTCTAAGAAATTCGGACAACTTAAGACCATTACGTCCGTTTACAATGCATTTCTATTTCTACGGCCATTAAATAAGCAGAATGTATCGGAAATAAAAAAGCATGAAAGCAACAAAAATAAGATGTAAGATAAACCAGTAGAATATTCATAATAATGACAATGCTTCCTCTAAGAAATTGGACAACTTAAGACCATTACGCCCATTTACAATGCATTTCTATTTCTACGCCATTAAATAAGCAGCATGGATCGAAATAAAAAGGCATGAAAGCAACAAAAAAATAAGATGTAAGATAAACCAGTAGAATATTAATAATAATGACAATGCTTTTCTAAGAAATTGGACAACTTAAGACCATTACGTCCGTTTACAATGCATTTCTATTTCTACGGCCATTAAATAAGCAGCATGGATTGGAAATAAAAAGGCATAAAAGCAACAAAAATAAGATGTAAGATAAACCATTAGAATATTAATAATAATGACAATGCTTCCTCTAAGAAATTCGGACAACTTAAGACCATTACGTCCGTTTACAATGCATTTCTATTTCTACGGCCATTAAATAAGCAGCATGGATCGGAAATAAAAAGGCATAAAAGCAACAAAAATAAGATGTAAGATAAACCAGTAGAATATTAATAATAATGACAATGCTTCCTCTAAGAAATTTGGACAACTTAAGACCATTACGTCCATTTACAATGCATTTCTATTTCTACGGCCATTAAATAAGCAGCATGGATTGGAAATAAAAAGGCATAAAAGCAACAAAAATAAGATGTAAGATAAACCTGTAGAATATTCATAATAATGACAATGCTTCCTCTAAGAAATTCGGACAACTTAAGACCATTACGTCCGTTTATAATGCATTTCTATTTCAACGCCATTAAATAAGCAGCATGGATCGGAAAAAAAAAGGCATAAAAGCAACAAAAATAAGATGTAAAAAGATAAACCAGTAGAATATTAATAATAATGACAATGCTTCCTCTAAGAAATTGGACAACTTAAGACCATTACGTCCATTTACAATGCATTTCTATTTCTACGGCCATTAAATAAGCAGCATGGATCGAAATAAAAAAGGCATGAAAGCAAAAAAAAAATAAGATGTAAGATAAACCAGTAGAATATTAATAATAATGACAATGCTTCCTCTAAGAAATTAGGACAACTTAAGACCATTCGTCCATTTACAATGCATTTCTATTTCTACGGCCATTAAATACGCAGCATGGATCGGAAATAAAAAGGCATAAAAGCAACAAAAATAAGATGTAAGATAAACCAGTAGAATATTAATAATAATGACAATGCTTCCTCTAAGAAATTCGGACAACTTAAGACCATTACGTCCATTTACAATGCATTTCTATTTCTACGGGCCATTAAATAAGCAGCATGGATCGAAATAAAAAAAGGCATGAAAGCAAATAAAAATAAGATGTAAGATAAACCAGTAGAATATTAATAATAATGACAATGCTTCCTCTAAGAAATTTGGACAACTTAAGACCATTCGTCCGTTTACAATGCATTTCTATTTCTACGGCCATTAAATAAGCAGCATGGATCGGAAAAAAAAGGCATAAAAGCAACAAAAATAAGATGTAAGATAAACCAGTAGAATATTAATAATAATGACATGGCTTCCTCTAAGAAATTCGGACAACTTAAGACCATTCGTCCGTTTATAATGCATTTCTATTTCTACGGCCATTAAATAAGCAGAATATATCGAAATAAAAAAGCATGAAATTTAAAAAAAATAAGATGTAAGATAAACCAGTAGAATATCAATAATAATGACAATGCTTCCTCTAAGAAATTTGGACAACTTAAGACCATTACGTCCATTTACAATGCATTTCTATTTTCTACGGCCATTAAATAAGCAGCATGGATCGAAAAAAAAGGCATGAAAGCAACAAAAAATAAGATGTAAGATAAACCAGTAGAATATTAATAATAATGACAATGCTTCCTCTAAGAAATTCGGACAACTTAAGACCATTACGTCCGTTTACAATGCATTTCTATTTCTACGGCCATTAAATAAGCAGCATGGATTGGAAATAAAAAGGCATAAAAGCAACAAAAATAAGATGTAAGATAAACCAGTAGAATATTAATAATAATGACAATGCTTCCTCTAAGAAATTTGGACAACTTAAGACCATTACGTCCATTTACAATGCATTTCTATTTCTACGGCCATTAAATAAGCAGCATGGATCGGAAATAAAAAGGCATAAAAGCAACAAAAATAAGATGTAAGATAAACCAGTAGAATATTAATAATAATGACAATGCTTCCTCTAAGAAATTCGGACAACTTAAGACCATTACGTCCATTTACAATGCATTTCTATTTCACGGCCATTAAATAAGCAGCATGGATCGAAATAAAAAGGCATAAAAAGCAACAAAAATAAGATGTAAAAGATAAACCAGTAGAATATTAATAATAATGACAATGCTTCCTCTAAGAAATTCGGACAACTTAAGACCATTCGTCCATTTTACAATGCATTTCTATTTCTACGGCCATTAAATAAGCAGCATGGATCGGAAATAAAAAGGCATAAAAGCAACAAAAATAAGATGTAAGATAAACCAGTAGAATATTCATAATGATGACAATGCTTCCTCTAAGAAATTCGGACAACTTAAGACCATTACGTCCATTTACAATGCATTTCTATTTCTACGGCCATTAAATACGCAGCATGGATTGGAAATAAAAAAGCATAAAAGCAACAAAAATAAGATGTAAGATAAACCAGTAGAATATTAATAATAATGACAATGCTTCCTCTAAGAAATTCGGACAACTTAAGACCATTACGTCCATTTACAATGCATTTCTATTTCTACGGCCATTAAATAAGCAGCATGGATCGGAAATAAAAAGGCATAAAAGCAACAAAAATAAGATGTAAGATAAACCAGTAGAATATTCATAATAATGACAATGCTTCCTCTAAGAAATTCGGACAACTTAAGACCATTCGTCCATTTACAATGCATTTCTATTTCTCGGGCCATTAAATAAGCAGCATGGATCGAAATAAAAAGGCATAAAAGCAGCAAAAAATAAGATGTAAGATAAACCAGTAGAATATTAATAATAATGACAAGGCTTCCTCTAAGAAATTCGGACAACTTAAGACCATTACGCGTCGTTTATAATGCATTTTCTATTTCTATGGCCATTAAATAAGCAGCATGGATTGGAAATAAAAAAGGCATAAAAGCAACAAAAAATAAGATAAGATAAACCAGTAGAATATTAATAATAATGACAATGCTT